CATTTAAAATTTTCTTCGATTTTATTCTTATATTAAATATAATTTCTAGTGAAAATAACACAATTAACATGGTGAGCCTAGTGGTTAGGCGTTTAATCCTTTTTCAAGGGAAAAACTCGAAACTTTTGTGTTCTTACAGTTAATTTTTTAACAATGGAGGAAACAAAACAAAATATAATATTATGTATGAATTTGAAAAAAAGAAAGAGTGATCAAAATATAAATGAAATAATAGGTGTGTGAATAAATAGTACCCAAGTTTTTTTGAGAAAGTTTATTTTTATAATCCATATTTAAAGTTTATGATTATCTCCTTCGTCTAATACTATTTATTTAAATTTAATTTTAGTCTTGTTTAAAAAAAATCTAATATGCCTTACAATTGCGTATCTACACTCAACACTTATGGATTATTTTTGACAAAATTTTACACACCAATCGACTGGTAATTAAAATGCATGGGAAGTGACAAAGGATTAAAAGTGATCAAGATATCTACGAATTTTCATTATATAAATATAGAGATATATTGGCATTAATTTCAGAAATGGAGTTAACTTGTGGAATTCATTTTGTAATAAATTTGAGAGTGAATGAGACTCAGAATTTCTGGTGAAACATTAGATGACTGTAGCTTAGGTTCAATATATAGTTACACAGAAAACTGCATGACGCAATTAAGAACATTATTTTTCAGGGCATTTGAAAAGTCTTATTCACTATCAATTTTTTGGTCTGATTCAAGAAGGACCTCGGAATATAACTGCTCAATATGGTGAGTGTATTGGGATTAGTGCTCACTATCCGTACTCTCAAACATATCGTTCATGTCTTATAATCACACCGAACTAATAAAAATAAGGTACGAACTAACTTACTTCAGTGATTAAAAGAATCGATATTGTTCTTAGAGGTCACGAGTTCGAGCACCAACGACTACAACAAGATAATTGAGCGTTCATTGTTAAATTGTTGAGATTATTTAAAACATATATTATTTTGTAATCAACTTAGATTATTAAAAAACTAGTAAAAATAAGAGTAAAGTATACAAATAGTCCCCAACTTTATGATATTATTTTATTGAGTCCCTTGACCATTAAAAATTATAAAATAATCCCTCAATCATAGGGAATTGCTTTATTGAGTCCTTGAATAATTAAAAGTTAAAAAAATGCTCACTCGACTATTCATTATGTTCTAGACTCGTCCTTTTCCGTTAAAAAATTTAACGGTCATAATGAATAGTTAGGTGATCAATTTGTAACTTTTAATAGTCAAGGGACTCAACAAAGAAACTTCCTATAGTCGGAGGACCATTTATAGTTTTTAATAGTCAGAAGACTTAATAAAACAATATTCTATAGTCAATGGACTATTTATGTACTATACCTAAAAGTAATATCTTTTTGTTTAGATAAACCACCTTTATATTCCCTAGTTAACTACTTTAAATACCACTAACTTTTAAGCACTGAACTCGTTTATACAACCAACGTTGCAATTTTACTAGTTTTAGCACTAATTTTTAAAATTAGTTTAAGTGCAATTATGTCATTTTGCCGTTAATGGTTTAACGGGACAATGGCATGACAACGACATGTCGTGACGATGCTGACGTGGATGACTCATCTAAACGATGTCGTTTTAATGTTTCTGTTTTAGTACTCAAAAGATCCAAAATGACATAGTTTTATTATAACCCTAATTTTCTTAGGGACTAAACTTAAATTTTCCTATTACTATTTTCTCTTTTTCATCCTCTTCTTCATCTGCACCTCCTTTTCCATGGTTTTCTTTGCAATCAAACGGAAGGACCTGATGTATATTTTAACCACCTCAATTTCTCTCTACAAATTCGTAACTACTTTTTTTCAAAAAAATAAAAAAAAAATATTCTTTCCTGCAACTGAGTGAAGTGAAAGAGAAAAATGTTAAGATCAACCGCAATGAAAGAGGAGAGGAACGCAGACGAAGATTTCGATGGCTTTGAAAAATGATTATTAACATTGTTCGGTTGGTTATTGAAACGTATTCGCAGCATTGGAATTGAAGCTAAGTATTCGGCAATGGTTTTGAGATCAGCAGAAATTGTTTTTTTAAGATGAAAGTGAATTGATTTTCGTCCCCCCTTCTCAGTTGCTATTTTTGTTCGTAATGTTGCTTTGAAAGAAGAAGAGATCGAGTAAAGAGGTAAAAAGCAATGGAGTCTCGGATGGATCATTACGAGATCATGGAGAAGATTAGCCTTGGTGCTTTCGGTGCTGTTATTCTCGTTCATCATAAATCTGAGAAGAAAAAGTATTATTTTCCTACTTTCTTACATTCTTGTTTTTCAGTAAAGTGTGCCTTCAATGTTTTGAATTTCTGGTAACCATTTGTTTGGTTGCCAAGAAAAACCATGAAAAAGGCGATGCAGATAAGATGAGGAGGAAGAAGAGAAAAAATTAATGGGAAAATTTGAGTTTAATCCCTAGGAAAATTAGGATTCAAGCAAAACGATGTCATTTTGGGTCTTTTGAGCACTAAAACATAAACGTCAAAATGACATCATTTAGATGAGGCATCCACGTCAGCGACGTCTCGACATGTTGTTGACATGTCTTTGTCACGTCAAACCATTAACGACAGAGTGGCATAATTACTTTTAAACGTAAACGTTAATGCAAAAATTGACAAAATTAAAATATTACTGATATAAACGAGAAAGTGCTTAAAGGTTAGTGACATTTTAATTAGTTAACCCAACAAAAAAAACTCATAAATTGAATTTTAGAAAATTAATATCTAACACAATAATGGCGTTTTATTGCTAACCTTAACCCATTAGTAAAATTTATGAAATTTAAGGCAGAAGTAGGAGTGACATAAACGGTCTTACTTTTATCTCTTCAAGAAGCGAAATACATCAATCGATGACCAACTTTATGCTTTGGGAATTTTCTCCTCGCTAAATTTGTAAATGATTTTTATTTTTCAAACTTACATTTATTTCACAAATAAATAAAACGCGTTGAAGTTAAAAATTTAATGATCTACCAAAGCAACTACACGAGCATTGAATTTCGTATTAACTCACCGAATCATTAAAATAAATGAGTAGAAATTGCAACAAAAAATTACTAATAAGAGCATATTAATTAGGGATGGGAATAAGGCTCGAACCTGACGGGTTCTTATTTGATCATATCGGGTCTGATTTAAAAAAAATCGAGTTCGAGTCGGGTCGGGTTTTCTTAAAGGTTATGTTCGGGTCGGGTTCGAGTTTAGGGTAAAAATACCCCACCTAAAAAGTTATAATTTTACCTCTATATATTATTTTCTTTCAATTAAATCTCTATTTTTATTGAATAATAATAATATTTTCTAATAAATATATTATTTCGGGTCGGATCGAATTTGGATTTTATCTCAAAAAACCAAGTTAAGTTCATATAGGGTCGAAAGTGTATCTTTTCCGAGTCAAATTTGCATCGGTTGGAGTATTTATAATTTTTGAGTCGGGTCGGGTGGACTGAAAATCCAACCCGACCCATGCCCATCTCTAAGATTAATGCATGGTTTTCCTTTCAGTTTGTTGGAAGTATATTTTCTTTTTGTAAGATGGTATGATAAAAACTAAAACATAAAAAACTAATATAGCACATTTAATACATAATTCATTTTTGACCTTTTAGTTAATCAACACATCTGATAATGTTGTTATAGTTACGTAATTAATAAGACCAACATGGTCTAGTGAGATGAGGTACTATGTCCTTTAAGCAAGGTCAAGGGTTCGAATCCTGATATTTGCGAATAGAACAAATGGGGTTGGGAGGGTCGCCCTCGCTTCTGCAGTACTCGATCTGGATTAGTTAATTAATAGATCAGATACCAGTGATTAATTCAAAAAAAACTCAAAACAAATTTCGTTCATTTATTTTTTAAAGTGTTCTTATTTATTTGTTTAACGTTCGTTAATATGTTCGTTTAACGTTCACAAACATATTCATTAAATGATTATGAATATATTTATTTATCTTTCGCCAACAGGGACAGAGCCAGGATTTGAACTTGAGGGGACAAATTATAAATTTTCTAAAATTAGAGGGCAATTTCATAATTATCCAATAAATATTTAAATTTTATACATAAATTAAATGTAAAAGAATTTGCTGGTTTTTTTTGGGTCCCTTGGTAGTTCTGAAACTGTTCGTCAACATATTCGTTTAACGTTTATTTAATGTGCGACAACCAACGTTATATTTTTCACCCTTTCATTTCAAGCTAAAGAAAATGATAAAATTACATCACTAGTCCTTAAATTACTTACGATTTCACAGTTTGAACTTCAAATTTTACCTTATAAAAAATAAATGAACTTCTTTTAAATATAAAAAATAAAAGGAAAAAATTGAATAAACTAATCCATAAACGAGTCAATAAACGAGTTTCTTTGTGAATATAAACGAACCGAATAAAAATATATTTGTTTTCGTTCGTTTATTAAATAAACATTAAAATTTTATTAATGAACATTTTTTAACTTAATAAACAAAAAACAATTTACGAATAATTTATTAAACACTCTTCCTTTATAATGATATTGATGGCATCCATTTAATATATACAGAGTAAACAAAATATGTTATCATACACTAAATTAAATTCAATATAAAATCATAATCACTATCCTACTCTAGGCTGAACCGACTCACACGTGTAGAAATCTACCTCTAATAGTAGTCTACTTGTATTTCGAAGCAATTAAAGTGTCCATTTATTTGCAAGCCTTCCCCATTTTTATTGAGTTTCTCACTCTCCCTCCTAACATAAAAAAAAATGCAAAACAATAAATGAAACAACTAATCATAACAAATTCAAGCATTGAGTTAATTTATTTGAAGTTTAATTAATTCAACATTAATACTACTTTCATTTTATTAATTTTTTTTATATTTAAAAAGCAACTATAATATTCAACACTTATAAATGACTCGTACATCTCTATAGTCATTGTTATATAAACAAGGGAAGAACAAAAGAAAACCACTCATTTCCTCCTCAAGAAGCCCTCTTTGGCTATGGCTGCCGATGTTAGCTCTTTACATAGAGTTTTAAGCGGGCACAAGGATGATCGAACGGCGAGAAACGAATCGGGTGGAGCAAAATCAACGGCTTTGATCACCATAGACTTTCTCAGAGTCGGAGGCGGAGGCGGTGGCTCCGCCTTGATCGATATGGAAACTGATCAATCAGAAGAACTTGACCTTGACCTTCAAGTCCCTGATGGATGGGAAAAGCGCCTAGACTTGAAGGTATCTATCTCACAAGTAATGAAACGATTTCCTTAATTTTTTTGCTATATAAAGTATGATCCAGTAATTAACTTCTAATGGCTGCAGTCAGGCAAGGTGTACTTGCAAAGATGCAATTCATCAAATTCTTCACAATCATCGGATGGAACCAAACACCAAAACAATCAAACAGTGTCAAAGCTTCAAGATTTGAACATCCCACCGTCGCCCTCTAAACCTTTGTTAAACCTTCTCGACGAGACCAACTTAGAACTGAAACTAGTCCCACCATCCCCTACCGATTATCAAAGTGTGTGTACACTCGACAAAATAAAATTCGCGCTCGAAAGGGCAGAGAAGAATCCAATCAAAAAGCGACCGTCTTCGTCGTCGTTGTGGAAGTCATCCTTGTCTCCTCCTTGTTCTTCATCATCATCTTCGATCAAAGATTCACAGTACGGTGTCGGTGAACAAGAGAGGTTGTTCGCATCGCCGGTTGCAGCCGGCTGCCCCGGATGCTTATCGTATGTGATGGTAATGAAACATAACCCTAGATGTCCTAGGTGCAATACCGTTGTTCCCATGCCAGCTTCCAAGAAGCCTCGCCTTGATCTCAATATATCAATCCGAGGGGGGCGGGGGAATTGAAGTATATAGATAATTTTGTAAATGATATAGATAAATTAGAATTCAAATATTGGCAGAAAATGGAAAAGGCTTGCAAATACCAAAAAAGAAATATATAATTTTAATATTCACATATTTATTATATTTCACATTATTTATTGTCCTACTCAGTTGGTCTTAAACTACCTAGTAATTCATAAATTTCTATCTATATGATGTTCTTGGATTGGGTTTCAAACTATCTAATAAGCTATAAGGCATTGTTTATAGCTTAATATTTCGTAGTTTGAAGTTTGGATATATATTTGATGTTATGTGAGCGTATAAATCTATATCTTGGTTGTGAGCCAAATGATATAAACCTTAATATAAATAAGTTTATATGTATTTTTTTATATTAAAAAAAAGGACCTTTTCACATGGTAAATGAACAAAGAAACTAAAATCTGGTATTTAAACCCTCCCAGAACTAGGGGTGTAAAAGAGCCGAGTAAAGTTTGAGTATCTTTGAGCTCGACTCGATTCAAAAACTCAAAATTAGAGCTCTATTCAGCTCGAAAACTTGAGATCTTAAAATTTTCAAACTCGACTCGAATTCGATACCATGAATTGAAGCATGTAAAAGCTCAAAATAAAAATAAAAAACTTAAACTTAACTCGACTGAAGTTCAAACTCAAACATAAACCTTAAATACATGAAAACCTTATATTGCATTTTTTTAAATATCAAGGCATAAATGTTAATATTATTAATAATTTATTTTTTAAAAGATAAAATCTTAATATATTATATTTTCGAGTTGTTCGTGACTTTTCAAGTCGAGTATCAAGTAGCTCGTTTCGGTTCGTTAAGAACTCGAGCTTGAGTCGAATATTTATCAAACTTTGACCGAGTCGATCTCGAGTAGCTCACTATCTGTCTCGTCTCATTTATAGCTCTATCCAAAACAACATTGTTTTGGAAAGATTGTTCGTATTCTAAGATAACATCATTTGGAATATCTAGTATGATGTTTGACTTAAAACAAATATCACCTTAATAAAATAAAATTACGATTGCACCCATACCCGAAGTAGATCCACAACCAAAATCTGCGTTTTGAAATCTTTGGATAAATTCCATTTTTAATCCTTCCGCTTTTTAACTGGTGTAATGTTGCCCCGTTTTGTATTAATTAATATTGTATTCTTTTAACTTCATGTTTATTGCAATTTAGTCCTAAAATGGTAGTTTATCTATTTATTTACACTTTTGCATTGTTTATTTTTTTTTCGTACGTTAGCTTTATTTGTTATAATTATTATTAGGCTTCTTTTTTCTTTTGCTTCATTTATTTAAAAAATTTGAAATAATGAGTATTCAATCGTACTTAACCTAAAACGATTGATGACAACTTTATCCTTTTAACCAGCTTTTCAATACTCAACATTTTTTAACCTAAAATCAGTTTCGACGGTCTCACTGTTTTCCTCCAATTTGCACACCTATTGTAAAATTTAGTTTCAACCAAAAGTTAATTTAAGAAATATAGTGAGTGAGTCTCCCAGCGGGGATTTTCATCATATACAAGGACTCGAACCTAAGACCTTACTTAAATGATATCAAGCTGTTTACCATTTGAATCAATCCCGTTAGTTATTTATCTATTAAATTATTGCATTAATTTTTTTATTAAATTCATCTATAATATTGGCAGATGATAAAAAAGGGATAGTGATGTACCGAGAAAATCAAATAAAATATGGTTATGTCATATAAATGTTTGAAAACTGCATTCACCTAAACATGGTCACATAAGGAACTTTATTATGGTTGCTGCATGAAAGCTAATTAAAGCCCATTTAATAGACCAATTCATTAATATACCTAACCTTATTAAATGAGAATTTAATTTCATCATGGCCTTTAATGTCTTTCTACCTACCTTTCGTTTGTGTTTTAATGTTTAGTTCCCAGTACCAATCCCTATATTTATTTTCAATTAAACCAAACTCTAGTTGGACTAATTAATTTAGGGTAAACTACCCCAAAGTCTCTAAACTATAGGCTTAATTATATTTTGATCATGGAAGTAAAGTTTTTGTAAATTAGGTCACTAATCCTCCAATTTAGCTTGAATCAAGCAATAATGTTAATTGAATTGCTAACGTGAAAGTTAAATAAATTTATATAATAACATATTTAACATTCATTAATTTATAAATTAATTTTAATTAAAAATAATTTATTAAATTTAAGTTTTAAAATAATATGGTTATATATGTCACATTCCTGTGATGGGTGAGAGAACTGAACTTGGGTCTAGAGTGGGCTTACATTTGCCTTAACCAATAAACCATGTTTATTATTTAATTCAATGTTAATAATGAATTATATTTAAGTTAATTTGTAGTTGATGCAATAATTTTAAAAATATATAATAAAAAGAATAGGACCACAGGAGTTCGAACTTGCGAACTAAGATATATAAGAATAATATTTAACCATTGAACCAACTTAAATATTTATTTCATGATTTTTAAGATTTACATTTATGTTAAATTGTGTTTGATACAATATTTATGTTAAATTTAATCTCTACAATCTTAAAAATATTGTAAAAATTCTAAATATTTTTGTATAAATTTAGAATAATCCAGACTTGGGAGAATTTTTTATTCAATTCTAGAATCTTTCATTAGTCTTTTTCAATATTTTAGAATAATTTTCATAGATTCAAAATCTTCTATGATGTTTCAGAACCTTTTACCATGCTTTAGAGTATTTCATAAGGTCCTACAACGTTCCACAATATGCAGATTATAAGATGTCAAGAGTATTTTTACGATGCGTTTGGAATACAAAACGCGGCTAATTAGAAGATGTCAAGAGTTTTTCATACATATCGAAGAACTGGAACAATGTAACCTCATTAGCAAGCCAAAAGAGAAATGGAAAAATCAATATTTCAACAAACTTAAGAAAAAAGATATCTTCACAGCTCTACACACCATATGCAGATTCATCAGGAGTAATTTGATGTCCTTTACCAAAAGGTACGTGTATATATATTAAAAAGAATATTCTTGAAGAAATTTGTTAGTTCGACAGGTTATCTAGTGAAACCTTTGATCAGCATACATCGAAGGTAAGAGCTAACGATTGAAAAATCACATCAATATTTTTGTAGCGATATAAGACATACATCAACAATTGAATCAACACAATAGAAAAATATAAGACTGAATCAACATGGTAGAGTAACGAGAGTTAGTAGCAACCGATATAATGACATGAAGATATCGTAGAACATCTATTTTAATTATGAATCATCGAAATGGAAGCTAAGGGTCTTAAAACTTGGAAAGATTTCGGAAAGAGACGATGACTTACAGAGTATCGCTCCTAACCATTCCCCAAAACTCAGTGAAAAGTGGACCTGGGCACATCCAAAAACCAAGTAATTAGTCATGAAGGAGAAGAAACAAGGTTACAAGAAACAAATCAAAGAACCGAAAACGAGTCTAAAGTTCTTCGGCAAATGCTGAACTCAGATAGCCCCTCAAAACTCATCATTCATCAATTACTCTCATCGTAACTAAATGCAGTTTGGACCATAGTTACAACAGACAGATGGAAATTACTTGAATATACAGTTACTCCAGCTATCCAGCATGTCCCAGAGATTAACTATAAAATCTCCGTAAAAAAAACACACATTTTAAGCATGTTATGAACTTAATTAACAATTCAAGGGTAGCAATTCAAGAAGATAAGCAACATTTGCACAGTAAATAACGGGAAATCAATCGCTTGAAAACTGATATCGAGTGCAAAATGCAGTAAAACCAACTCCATATTTCTACTAGAATGTCTAGAAAGTAATCCAAAATGCTTGAATTTCAGCTGGCCATCAGTAACTAACCCTTTTATGGGTGCCACATACTCTCATATCTGCGGTTTTGCATCTTTTTCTCTGCATATCTGGCAAAAGAACCATAATGAATTTTCGTTAACTAGTCAAATACAGAGAATAATGGTAATATAATCGTATGTTACAGCAACACTCATACTTGCAGACCTATCACATCGTCCTTTGCCATGATCTTATTGTGTTACTATCAATTGAATTTACTGCAATGTGTTACATGATCTTATTTTTCTTCTTTAAGAATATGCTTGCTGAGATATTATTTTCTTAAATATTAAGACAAGTCTGTAGTAACCAAATATTTCAACCTAATACACAGATTCAGCGTTCCAAATTCAGTAAATGAAATCCAAATACATGCCATAACTGTGTTTCACAGATCTGACACGGTCAAATACATCATAGCCCTAAAATGAGAAACCTACACTACAATACCTAATACTCCACCTTCACGGCGCTCAGCACATGGCTTCCATGAAGTAGTTGTAGAGAAAGGATTCTCTCAGAGTGAAGGCTTTTCCTTAACCTTGAAAGCAGAAAACACCAATCACAAATGGAAGAAGCCAGCAATAATACAGGAAGTATTAACAATGAGAACAAAAGAACAAAATTCATCAGGAACTTACACGCGGACAAATGTAGAACACTGCCATCCTTTTTACATAAATACGGGGAATTCTACCATAAATGAATACACACATGTTAGCATTAGTAACACAAATTAAATACCAAACTCACAATTTCCATTAAGCAAACTTCAATAAGCTAAATTTTAGTATCGCTTACTCTGCTAGCTCACGACAATCAAATATCCTTTTCCCCGAATATTAGTAATACCATTACTAAAAAAATAAGAATTATTCAAAATCTGATTGTACGCAACAAGAAAAAAGAGAGAGAGAAAAAATAGAGAGTAATTCAACTATTTAATAGTAAAAAAAAGTGAATCACTCTCTTACTAATCGATGCAAGATCGAGAAAATGGAGATCAATTCGGCAATGGCGACAAGAATGAGCATGAAAAGAGAGATCTTGGAGCCACGTTGAGAAAACCTAGGATGAAGGTCACAACGTGGCAGTGAAGGTCACGACGGCGTCAAACGACACCAATTAACAACATATTTG